GGACGTGACAGATGCCGTAGGAGGGTTCGAGGCACACGGGTTTCCCACCCTGCACCCCGCAGTACTGGCCCGCAGGGCATGAGGCTTCGAAACACTGGACTTTGCTTCCCCGTGCGGGACACGTGCACTTGGAGGAGCAGCTGTTGTCCGTCCAGAACTCGGAGCCCACAGGGTAGTGCTGCCCGTTGTACCAACACCCGCACTGCTGGCTGGGCACACATCGGTCGTGGTAGAGCAGGTACCCGCTGTCACACACACAGCCCTCCACACACGGCAGGCTGCAGGTGACTGGAGCCATTGGGTCAAAACAGGTGGCAGGGCAGGCAGCAGCACAGGGCTCATAGTGACTGTTGGCCGGACAGGTGATCGCTGCAGAAACAGAAGACGTGGCAATTACTTGCAGAACATAACTCAACACTTCTTTTGAGGTATTTTTCCCTTTGAAAAAGTAATGGTCTCCGTTTTCCCTCTGGTCTGCTTGGCTCTATGTGTGTTCTCAGTCCTATCCGATCAAATGAAACAGCAAATGTGATGGTGCCTTTAATACAGACAACTCCCTGTAAATCCCCTCAGCTCACAGTAAGAATATTTCTCTGCCTCACTCTTTCCTTCCTGTCCTGCGTTTTCCTGAGAGTAACGATCTGTGCTAGCACGTGTGGACTTACGGCAGAAGGTTGTGTTCCTCCACACGGGTATCTGGACCCCAAGGGCCTGACAGGCATCCGCATAGGACTGCAAGCTCTTGCACAGGGTCTCCCGGTCCAGCCCCAGCTCACACAGGTCATACGAGCAGGTCTCAAAGTAACTGCTGGGGCTCAGCACAGCGTGGCAGATCTGAAAGGGGCCACTGGTGTCAATGAGGAGCCCACAGAAGTGGCTGCTGGCGATCACCTGCTTGTCCGTGTCATTGCAGGCTGGGGTGGGGAGCGGTCCGGCTGAGCAGCTGTGGAAAGACAGGGAGAAGGGCCCCTGGGTCATCTCTGGGCTTCTCCTGGTGCCTCCTCCTCCCCTTGCCTGATGTGTCCCCAGACCTGCTGGGGAGGCACACCCACCTGCTGTTTTTGGACACCTCCCAGCTGTTGCCCAGGCTGGTAGAGTCTGGCTCCAGCATCCCTTCCGGGTTCAGGAAGTCATCTGCTGCCATCCCGTTGTAGTTCCCACACATGCCACAAACCTTCTGCCCAAAGGTGCTTGGAAGTGTCACCTCCACCCGATGGACCCCATCAAACTTCACTCTCAAGCCAAAGTCTGTCATGATCATAGTGTAGAACCCACTGGACAAGACCTGCACACCTGCGGATGGGCTGCAAGGCAGGATCTCTGCCACTCCATTCACCTGGAGGGACAGGAAGCAA